CAGGGGCAGGGGAGGGGGCACTGGCGAGGGAAGGGCAGGGAGATTGGCAGAGACTGTCCCAGGGCCAGATGAGCCTGGTGAAGATTCTGCACACAAAGCAAGTATCTACTTTTCACTCTCGCCCAGCAAGGGCCACACCTAGGCAATTCCATCCAGAGGCTGTGTCCACACCTACGGTCACCATGAAGTCCATGGCTACTTCATTGGTGGGATTTCCTTCCCATTAGGAAGCATTTATAGGGCTGACAGTGGCTCAGTGGGCAGAGTGCTCACCTAGCATGCAGGAAGCTGTGGGGCCGTCCCTAAAACAAACCAGATATGAAGGTGCATGCCCTCACCTCAATGTGCAGGAGGGTTAGGAGTTCAAGGCCAGTCTGGGCTACATGAGACCCTGTTCTCAAAAACATCAGTCAACAAATGGGCAAGGGTGCCTGATGCTGAGGCTAATGACCCTGGGATCCCTGGGGAAGGACATTAACACATGGGATAGCATGTACACACTCCTCCTATAAACACATGCTAAGGACATACAATAAAAATGTAAAAAACAGCACACAAATAGAGAGGGATGGTCCAGTGACAAAGTCCAGGGCTCTACCTGTGATGCACTCACACCAGGAAGGGGTATTTAGAAAGGGTCACATGGCTACAGAGAGCCAGCTCTTCCCAGCACTTGTCCTGTTACAGACCTCCACATTCCACAAGTCCCCAGACAGGACATCCCTGACAGCTGTGAGATCAGCCTGGGGAGTCAGGTGTCCCCAAGTGTACCTCCTCTGCAATTAACAAGAGGTGGCGGCCATGTGACCCAGTTGGGGAGGCTGGTGTGCTCTCTCCACCCTGCTGTCCTTTCCTGCAGAGGTTAGGTTAAGTCCCACAATGGGGCTCATCTGTGTGGGAGGGCTGCATGCCTGGAGCAGGCAACAGTGAGCAGGGGAAGTGACATCAGGGGAACCTAGAGGATGGACACTTGGCTATGACAAATGCAAGGACTCTGAGGAGACAGGGACAGGCTGCTGTGTCTTCCTCAGCATGGTCGGACCGCTGCAAACTTGTGACCCCTCATGAGGCCCCTAAGCGCAATGTGGAGCCCTGGCCCCGTAGCCCATCTACAGTGTGTGGAGGGAAAAGACCCAGGTGGCACACAGCAACTGCCACAGGCAGCAGCAACAAGCAGCATATGGTCTGTTCTGGAGGCTCAGTCCTGCTAGGATGTGCAGAGGGGATGGCGTATCTGCACAGCTGGGCAGGAGCGATGGCAAGGGAGGGGACAGAAGCAGCCTGTCTAGGACACCAACCACTGGCAGGCTCAAAGCAGGCAGGCTAAGGAGGAAGCAGGCCCCACTACGATGCTGTGCCCTGATCTATGGCACTCCTGGACCAGTGAGTATGCTGCCCACATCCTGAGTGGACTTGGCAGCAATGTGACACTAGAGAGTCACCTGTCCATCTGCTGTCCCTATGCATCCTAGAGTTCAGCTGGGGACACAACTGCCACCGCCTTTCTTATGTCAGTGCCACTGGGCCCGGGGAGGTGGACAAGTCCTGGAGGCCCTGAAAGCTGGCATGAGATGGGGCCACACTGCAGGGATGGTGGGGGTGACCTGAGGACATTACCGCCCCACGGCACGGACCAATCCCCCACTACCCCTCACTCACAAGAAGAGCTACACAGACGTGGGCTATGTGGCAGTCTGTGGTGTCCAAGAGAGTGAGGAAACCACCAGATGGCTGTGTGTGAAACATACAACCTTGGTGACAAGCAGCTGTGGTGTCTCAGGCACACCTGAGTATGTGTAGTGACCTGGGGAAATGCCACTAGTCCTGGCCCTGGCTGAAGCTTGCAGCTAAAAATAAGACTACTTGGAAGGCAGGCAGGCCTTCCTGGCCCTAAATAAACCCTCCTTGGCCTGACCCACAAGGCCCAGAGCCCAGGCTGTCCCCAGGGTGAGTCCAGGCCCAGGGGAAATGCTGGTCTGGCCTGGGCAAGGATAGGCCGAGGAGCCAGCTATAGGGTGCTCACTTAGGGAGCTGGCTGACAGCAGGCTGGACTCCCACCAGACACCCCTCCTTGCAAGGCCCCAGCACGCACCTGCCCTGTTCTTTTTGGGGTCCCCCATCTTGCTGGGGCCCTGGCTGCTCCCTGCTGAAGGCCCCCAAGCTCCTTCTCCACATCTCCACTCAGTGATGTCACAGTCCCTGGCTGACGTCACTGGCAGTTCCCAGGCTAGACCTGGTACCCCCTTGAGAAGACAAGCAAGGATAATACCCACCATGGGAGCCCTGCAGTGGGTGGGGATCTGGCTGTAGCCCCAGAGCTACTACTCCTGAGTGACTGCCCAACATGGACTTTTTCTTATCTATTGAAGACCCAGGCTGTGCCACACCAGGACTCCCCTCAGCACTAAGAGTCCTGGAAGACCACTGGAGAAACTTGGGGTTCAAACCAAGATAGGAACGGAGCCTGACCAGCAAGGGCTGTTGCCATCTGTCCAGTGGGCTACACATAAAGTTGATGATCAAAAGAGGTACATGCCTGCCCCATAAGGCTAATGGCAATGGGTGTGGGGGTGGCTTGGAACTCCTACAAAGGCCCACACAAAGGCCAGGAGACTTTCTTAGTACCTTATCTTTGGAGAAAGGCACCTCAGATGTCACCATAACTTACTTGCTCCTGGTCATGCGTCACTGCCTCCAAAGGTGCAGGGGATGGCTGGGGATGGGTGGGTGGGTGGGAGCACTGCAGTAGTGGGAGCACGTCTATGTAGCAGTGAGGCTGGGCTCTGCTGGGTATGGATGCACAGCCATGGTTAGTGTTGGGGGCTCACCAACAGCTGGGCTGACAAGCCCCAGAAAAGAGCTGAGACTCTGGATCACAGCAATGGGAAGACCTCTGT